AATGTGTTTAACGAGCTGTTGCCTGGCAAACGATAGGAAGGATACACATAGAAAGACACACACTGATGGAAGAAATTTATGAAGTAGCCGTTGAGATGGGTTCAGGTGCCATGATACACATACCAAATTTCATATATATTTTGTTTCGTGCACAGAAAAGTTGATATGGGAGAAACATAGACACACAGACGCCATGGGGATCGCATAAGCCTAATATAGGAAAGTCGGCTAAAAATCGTTGAGGCAATTAAATTTTCATTTATATCGTGCCAATTTAACGACGATTTTATAGAAAGATCTACATTTTTTCTGTTGTTCTGTTGTTGTTTCTGTTGACGTAGCTCAGGTGGCTCGTTTTTTTTTATTGCTAGTGAGGTGGGACTAAGTCCCTTGTACTGCGGCCACTTCTGGCCTATTGTACCAGCCCCAGATGATAGGTGAGGGTGATTGTAGAGCAATTGCTGGAATGAAGATTGGCAGGGGAAACCGAAGTACTCGGAGAAAACCTGCCCCAGCGTCACTTTGTCCACCACAAATCCCACTTGACCAGACCCGGGATCGAACTCGAGGCACAGAGGTGGGAAGCCAGCGACTAGCCGCTTGAGCTATGGCGCGGCCCAAGTAACACCTTAACTCACTAATGTACATTATGTCTAATTTTGTTATTTAAATTAATATTAATATATTATTATTCTGCAAATGGGGTTTCAGCCGGTGGCAGTGGTACTAAATAAGACAACAGACAAACAACACACATAAACACGTTCCAACAAAACACAGCACACAAATGAAAAGTGAAAAGTATACTACACGCTATACATGCAGCGAATGCCCAATGTCATGTTCGCATTTTCCCCTCATTTCGCTTTACTACACTTACGTAATCCTCCTATCCTTAACACTTTTCACTTCACTTCACCCCACTTCACTGAGTTTTTTTTTTTTTGCTGATTTCCACCCTACCTTCACTTAGCCTCATTTATCATATGCCTAACCTTTTCTCTAAATATTTTTTTTCCCCTTGGCACTACAGCCCCAGTGGGCCTAGGCCTACTTCCATGAACTTCTCCGTTCACTTCGGTTTTTCTAGATCTTACACATTCGGTAGGACTCCTTGGGCGGGTGATCAGCTCGTCGCAAGGCCTCTACCTGTACACAAACACAGAAAAACGCACACACACGAACTAAACATCCATGACCTGAGCGGAATTCGAACTCACGATCCCTGCTTCCGAGAGAGCGAAGACAGTGCATGCCTTAGACCGCTCGGCTACCGTGACCGGCTTTCTCTTAAATTACTATAGAGGAAAATATCCCTCCCTCGACTTCAATAAAGGATGAGTTTTCGTCGCTTGTGGTCGATTTTCGCTTTCTAGAGCCGGAATAGCACGGTTGGTACGACGATGAGCTACGGCCTGGATGGCCGAGGAATCAAGGTTCGATCCTCAGCAGGCCCACGAGATTTTTCTCTATTCCACAGGGTCTAAACTGGCTCTGGAGCCCTTCCATTCTTCTATTCAATGGGTACCGGGCGCTCGCAATTCGAGGCTAAAGCGGCCGCGGCGTCAAACTGACCACTCATCTCCATCTAGTGCCGAGCTACACCTTCGCTCCCCCATACGCCTTACTGGAGTAGTGTTTAATTAATTAAGTACAGGGACAACTTTATCTTTGTATCTTTACCATTAGTACCGTTCTGTAGTTTTCAATAACTAAGCTTCGCCGCTGGTTAATAGTTCAATCAAAGCACTTTGAAGCTGACATTCAAATAATGAAACGTTACACCAACACAACAGCAGGGCCGCGCCATAGCTCAAGCGGTTAGTAGCTTGCTTCCCACCGCGGCGGCCCGGGTTCGAGCCAAGGTCTGGTCAAGTGGGATTTGTGGTGGACAAAGTGGCGCAGGGGCGGGTTTTCTCCGAGTACTTCGGTTTCCCCAGCCAATCTTCATTCTACCAAATTCTCCATCATTATAATAATAGGCCAATCAGTGGCCGCCGTGCCGAGTGGACCCAGTTGGACTCCACCCCCCACTAAGCGAAAAAAAAAAACGGTGACTTTCTCAGCGTGTGGTCTGCGAAGTTCAGTGAGCCGTGTCTACGTCACTCTCACTGGTTTTAACGGCAGGCCAATCGAATTGAGCTGTTGCTGCTGCAATAGGCATAGGTATAGTAGTGATTCACAAAAGCATGGAGACATGTTGAGTCACTGTACAACCAAACGCTTACGATTTTTAATCTAGCATTACGCAGTCCTTAGGAAGTCATTATGAATGAATCATTATTTTATATTTGCACAGTTGTGAAACAACAAACTGAAATCATAGACGTACGAAAATCTACGACAAATGCGGTTAAATTTTCGTACCTAATGATACCAAGTTAAGGTCAAACTGAAGTAATGGAAGCATGGATGGGCAATAATGAAGGAAACCGCGGTAAAATGCACGTGGTGTTGTGTCGTAATAGTATCACGTGATATGAACGCGCTACCGTGGAATGGTGTTTCCCCTTAATCATGGCTGAACGTGAATCGTGCCACATCTATATAACTGTACGCAGAGGGTAGAAGTCCTTCTGTTGAATGGGAGAGTGTGATATCAACGCACTAAAAGAAGAGGCAAGGTACATAAGAGGCCCGAGAGTAACTTCACACAAGGCTACAGGTTCGAGGTATGAAATGTGTACAAATGTAGTGCATGTTTGGTGCAAGTAAGAAGAAAATCGAAATGTTAATTATATTACCATTAGAAATCCGGTCGAGAAGCTAGTGGCCCCGCTGTTGAGTTGTTCATTAAGCAGTCCACTTAGTATGATCCTACTACATAACCTCGACGCTTAAAACGTCATTAAATTACTGCAAATAGTTAATCATATGACAAGTTGGCACCAACTTCGCCGACAAGCTGCGGTCTCTCGGTCCGTATAGTTCGCTTGGGGTCTAAAAACCACGGAGTTCTGTAGCCTACAAGTATTTGATATTCTGGGCCCGGGTTGTCATGTAATTATAGTTCATGATGTATGAAATTGTGTATCACTGTTATTATTTATAGACAGTACAATATACAGAGCAGGAGCAGGAATAGTGTAGTCGGTATAGCGACCGTCTACGTGATGGACGACCGAGAGGTGGGAGTTCGAGTCCCGGTATGGTCAAGAATTTTCTCTTCACCTCGTCGTCCAGACCAGCAAGTTTTAATTAAGACACATAAGATAAATAATCTTAACAAGTTTTAGTGTGTGTAAATTTATTATAGTTGACGAATACGCACTTTTTAAATGCTTTTTAAATAATTTTACAAGGATATATAATGGCAAGCAATGCAATAGCTTAGCGTAATTAGGGCACCTAATGATGGCACTGTGTTGCCGAAACATGTCGTGAAGTAACAGGTGAAACTGAGTGCACTACAAGACGGCCACTGTATACATATCATGGATATTCTAAAGGGTTCTGATGATGGTGTATAACACTCAGAATTACCGTTTTCTTTAACTTTGTCTATTGCCCAGTATTATAAAATCTGTAGAACACAACGTTTCGGATTCTTTATGGAAATCTGTTAGGTTTTAGCCCCATGTGGTCAGTTTTTACTCCACAGATGGTGCCGGATGGGCATTGCCTATGGCCTTTTTTGTATTTACAGTAATTTTTATACAATAAAAAATTAACGAAATTCTCTATTTAATCCTATGCTTTGGATTTCATGGACTTGATTTGTTGCATAAAATTTTCAGTTCAGATCTGTTCATGTTTTATCATAATTTTTATTTTCCTGTTACCTCTCTTCAACAAAGCCTGGTCTCAAGTAGTTGTACTGACATGGGTTGTCAGGTGGTTGAGGTTAGTTCTTTCCAAGGGGCCCAACAGAGTAAGTGTCTCCCCCCCCCACTTTACTACAGAAACAGATCCAATTTCTGAAACATTATGTTCCCTAGTTTTTAGAATCCCAGACAAAAGACAAAGTCCAAAACCCCATAATTCTGAATCTACTTAAAGTGTTATTTTGTTATTTTAAAGCACAATATCCTTATCATATGAAACTGCAATCATTAGTGGTCAAAATAATTCTCAGATATGACCAACTGTAACAATTAAAACCCTGACAGTAATTCTTGGAGAATATCTGACACAAGAATAAACATATGAAAACAATAACAGGACAAATCAAGAGTATAGGTAAACAAATAAATAACACCAGCTTACCCAAATAATTCTGTAATTTCAGCATAATCCTTTGATATTGTTGTCACATGGTCTGTAAAATCATTTGTTCACTTCACTTTACTATGGACTTTAACATCTATAATTTTGCCTGCGGTTCTGTATGGGTGTGAAACTTGGTCTCTGACATTAAGGGAGGAACATTGATTGAGGGTGTTGAGAATATTTGGACTGAAGAGGGATGAAGTGATATGAGGTTGGAGAAAACTGCATAATGAGGAGCTTCATAACTTGAACTTTTCTCCAAGTATAATTAGAATGATCAAGTCGAGGAGGATGAGGTGGGCAGGGCATGTAGCACGAATGGGGGAGGAAAGGAATGCATATAGGATATTGTTGGGAAAGCCATAAGGAAAGAGACCACTGGGAAGACCAAGGCATAGGTGGGTGGACAATATTAAAATGGAACTTAGAGAGGTAGGATGGGATGGTATGGATTGGATTGATCTGTCTCAGGATAGGGACCAGTGGAGGGCTCTTGTGAACACGGTAATGAACCTTCGGGTTCCATAAAATGCTGGGAAATTCTTGAGTAGCTGCAGATTTGGCTTCTCAAGAAGGGCTCAGCTCCATATATAAGTAAGTAAGTAAGTAAGTAAGTAAGTAAGTAAATGGACTTTAACATTCCTAATAACTGAAGAATGTTATAAATATTGTAAACTGAAAGGAAACGTGGGATGACATCCTTACAGCATAATAATATATACAATCAATATACACATAATGTATGAACTTGGGAGAGTAGTGTGCTGAAGGCAGAATTTTGTTTTGTTCAGCTCAAGCAATGGATCTACTACCACATCTCCTGATACTGACGATCGTGATGGCAGATGTTGTTAAAGTTCATCATGCAGCAGACAAGCTTTTAGCCATGAACCTTGAACATATCTTGAAAGTACAGAAATTCAGGTGCAAGCAACCCCAGCCACGCCTCATTCCAGTAGAAGATCTCTTTAATGTGAACTCAAAAGACCTGTACACCCCACGGGCGACAGTGTTGCATCGATGTGGCGAGGACACAGGCTGCTGTCCGAGAGAGGATATGACATGTGTTCCTCATGAAATTGAGATTGTGACACTGATGTTTAGTGTTCATGACACTCAGAATCACAGAAAATCAAAACATGAACTGAAAGCTACAAATCACACACTTTGCCAGTGTGTTGATTTTGAATAGCATGAGGAAAACATTTTGGAAGTAGTTTTTAGAAAGGGGCAAGCCCACAAGCAGACAGGTGATGTGAAAGGGACAATGACCAATGGAACAATGCCTCAGCACTCTGTCAACAGCTGTATTACTGTTCTGTTACATTTATTCATATTTATTACAACTGTACAACTGCACTTCTAGAAACATTTCAGATTTAATATAAGAATATGAGCCATGGATATAAAAGTGAAACATACACTTCATCTACTTAGCCTGAAAGGCTGTGAATGTGCAGGATGTGAGGTTCTCAAAGCCATGGCTATGTTATGCCATGTACTCTAGTAAAGTTTACTAGCATTGTGGAGGAATGTACTGCTTTCATTGTCAGCTCTGCTTGCTGCTTCCTTGGCAGCTTGACCGTGAAGTTGTGGAGGCAGTGCATTCTTTTCAAGGAATGGTAAACTTCTCTCAGACCACACAGTCTAACATCCCAGGAAATTTTCTCTTCAATGTAGATGTGGTTCAAGTTAAGATGTTTTCATTATTAGTCCACAGTAACAAAGAAAATAATTAAATACAGTCTGAGAATTGTACCTGCTACTTCCAAAATGAAGCACAGATGGTGTGACATATAGAGTGTGACTTTTGATAGAAATGAAAGGCAATGCCATAGCTTAACAGCCCCTTCCCCTGGCACTGCATTAAAACAGACAGTTTAATTAAAATTAATGTGTTTTATATAGTGTTTATGTAAAAGTAGACATAAAACTTAATGGAGCAGTTATTTCAAAAATCAAGTGAAACTTTGTGCGGGATTAGAGGTTTTCACAGTGGTGATTATGAAGAGTTCTGTCTTCTGAGTTATAAAGCCACGTAGTTCATCGGAAGTGAATCAACATTTCAGAGGTATATGTCGCCTCCATCTTCAGGGTCGAAGAATAAGCCAAGCAGGAAGCTACAACAATCAAGCAGAGCCATCAACTTGCTTGGCTTATTCTTCGACCCTGAAGATGGAGGTGATGTGTTCCTCCAAAATATTCATTGACTTTCAACAGATTATGTGACTTTACATCCCAGAAGATAGAATTCTTCAAGTGAAACATTTTTAACAGGACCTGCATGTATAGTATACAATGTAACTAAAATTCAATGCTAATGATTTTAAATAATTTTCAACAATATTTAAAGTACATACATGACATAAAACAAGATTTTTCTAGACTTGTGATGCCACCTTCTCATGCTTCTGCCTATATGGGGAGGCCAGCTGAAGTAAATACAGCTTGGTGGAGTCCCTCTTTATTTACATTTTCCAATATCCAGAATTCATAAAACATAACCAGAAGTGACATTGCTTGCTGCAGCCATATTTGCAGGTCCAAAACACACACAGTATGTATGTGAATTATTGCACTGTACACTTTCAAAGAGGACTAACTCACCAGAATACATCTATGTGATGTTTCTACTACTCAGAGGTACAGGTTGGTTTCTCATGTCAAACTACCCTTAGGAATTTAACGTGCTGTGATGAAGTAAGACTGACAGCCATGTAAAATGGTTGCATATACATTTATATATTATGTATTTTAGTTATTACATTTTCTGAATTTATGAGATAACGCCTAAGTGAAATATATGCTGCAAACCAAGAATTACTGGGGGCTACACTTTGTCTAAAACGTCTCTTGGGGATATGTCATAATTTGAACACACAACCGTATGGAGGAAAGTCCTATATGTTCCACAGGATCTCCAATATGGCAATTTTGGTTCCTACAATATATAAAAAAACAAAATATAATTGCATTCCAAAAGTTTCATCACTATTTGACGATGACGAAACATCAAAGACGTTTAAGACACACAACAGTCATATAGTTACTTCTGACAGTACTATTTGTCAACCACTACGTGTGTCCTGCTTTGTGTAAACTTCATGGCAGCTGCACTTGTTGTGAAAACACTCAGGAAACATGTACACAGAATGCTGCATAACAGAAGGAAAAATGAGAAAAATAATATTTTATTTGCTTTTTATTATCAATCATTAGTATTTTTCCTGATCACAAAGACTAGCAACAGGCTGGATGACTGAGGGGTCAGAGTTTGAGTCCTGGTAGGTTCAAGAATTTTCTCTTCTGCGCTTCGTCCAGACAGGCTCTGGGGCCCACCCAGCCACCTATCCAATGGGTACCAGGGGATCTTTCCCAGGGGTAAAGCAGCCGCTGCGTGAAGCTGGCCACTCACCTAAAACTAGTGCTGAGGTCAGAAATAGTGGAACTATACTTCCACATCCCAACACGTCTTCATGGCATGGTGATAAATTAGTTAACAACATGGGCAACTTTACCTTTCACCCACCCATAAAGATACATATGTATTAACATGTGATCTATGTAACTTTAAAATTACCGCCATGTTTTCTGCCATGTTAGTGCTGATAACCATGTAAGTTTAATTGTAACAACAACAACAACAAAGTTTTAACCTGAAGCTTTTAGATATATTATTTTTAAAGCAAAATCCTATCATGCAAACTATAACATTTAAATTATGTGTGATGTCCATTAATACACAGGTACCCATATAAAAGACTCCCAACTTTCTTATGCAGGAAATATATATGTCAATATATGATCACTGGTTATGTTGTTCTGTTAACCTCAGTGATAAAATAGTATTCAAATACAATATGTAATTGAATGGAGTTTGTCATAATAGTGTTAATTCATTAATTTAATGTTATATATATATATATATATACTGTCAGTGCATTCTGCCAGTACCGGTATTTATAGTATTTATTTTAATGTATTATTTATAAGATTGTAATTGTTCAATAAAATTATTTGCAACATATTTTACAATAAAATTTTTATTACATTTTATTACATTTGTGAAATATTAAGAACAGTGAACTGTGCATATTTTCAATTAGTTATTACACCTGTGGGTTGCCTTGACTAATAAGATACTCCTTTTGTGAAATAAGGTTATCAGAATTATGGAAGTACCAAAGAATATGCTTGTATATTCCATACAAATTCATACATTCTTTAAGTCAGTTGATAACCTTAAGGAAGAAGACTGCACAAAATATGACTCAGTTTTAACAAATTACATGATACTATAAGCTATAAACAAAGTAGCAGCAGTAACTAAGAGACAAAGATCATTTTTGAAAGTATCCATAATAAATTTACAACATGAGGTTGCAAGAGGTGTTTTCTATGTGGGTTCGCATATACCCATTGGTAAGAAATGACTCATTAAGCACGTTCTAGCGAATGCGCAACAACAGAGGACGTTTATGGTTAGGCAGTATATGTGTTTTCTGTGTTGTGGTCCGACACATAAGGCTATATAACCGGAAACCCGGGTCAGCCACCCGTGTGGAAGCCGGGTCGAATACCTCCGCCGTGACCCTGCGAGTCGTAGGAGCCGACGAAAAGGGAANAAAACAAGACCTTAACTGTCAATCAGTAATAAATATTTGGTCATGAGCCCCAGCTGAGGGCTGACTGACTATCAGTCGCAATGTGACTTTGGCTAAGTAGTCGTAGCTCGAAATTGAGTCCTAGGCAGTCAAGAATGAATGGTTTGGATGAAGGTTTATTATGAGTTATTTTAATTTATTGTGATATCAGGTGATTGTACAAGGAGTGATCTGTAAATCCAGACTCCATCTTATACGTAAATGATTCATGCACGTAACATGAACTGAATTCGGAATAGGACACGTGTACATATACATTTTTTTACAATATTATATTTAAGCATCCTGTTGCACTCTATACGATATATGACATAAACACCGTCCCAAGTGCAACAAGNTATAAGGTGTCAATAAATCCATTCATCCAATCCAAAACACATTGATTGATTGATTGATTTATTTTAACATCCATAACTGTTACATATGTTACATACTGTTACATACATCTATATGTCATGCATACACCCCAATATGTGACAATATATACTGATCATATATTTCATACGTCATGTACAGAGTCTCAATTTATGGCTGAAAGCTTCATTAGCATCTCCCCCATCATCATGAAGCAGTTGCATCATAGAGCACTTGCCTCAGCTCTTCACTTTGGTAACACTTGCGTCAAACATTAAATTGTAACCTACTACCAGCCAGTCACTCAATCCTTCTGGGATGTCAGATTCAGCCAAGCTTTATTAACCAACAGTAGTGAGAACCACCTGACCATTCTAAACTTATTAAGAATTTTAATATTAGGCAACAGCTCTAAATTTAACAGACCAAACGGTGGGGAATTCCATGAGAATGTACGGTGTTTATGCATGTAAATTATAGTGCATATTTTGCAAATTGTATCCCATGGAACCCATGTAATTATATGTGTTAAGAGCGTCATTAGTGGTTCACATACTCGCTCATTAGTGACCCTGTTAACAGCCAGTAATCAGACAATAATAATACGGGAGGGCACGGTAGTTGCTGAGATAAAATTACGGTACGGTGACGTCTTACGCGGTGAAGCGAAGAGCGTTCCACAATTGTTGAGCGGATCTCTCAGTGTCCAAAACAGTCGTACAGAGAAGCATAATACGAGTATAATAACAGTTACAACAAGAGCTATTCTCCCTTTTCTGAGTTTGGGGCGCTGCACTGTAGCGAAATTTAGTTGTTCCTTCAGCGCTGCAGCGTCCTTACACTGGCCTCGAAGTTCGTTCGTTTTAAGTTTGAAGGCACCGCTGACCTTTATGGCCTTTGTATACCATTCTGGACGTTCGGATTCTAGTACAAGATCAACTTCCTGTTGTATGGATCCTTCTGAGGGTTCGTCGCGATATTCTCTTACTGTGTTTAAACTCTCCTCGAGTGTTGCGGCGTCCTTACAGTGCCGTCGAAGGTTTTCTACTTCAAGTTTTAATGCCTCCCTCTCCTCCTTCAGAACCTCTAATTCGGCTTCTATGGATCTCGTTATGGAACCCAGCCAGTCCCTCTTCTCTCTCGCGATATTGATTTGGCGTACCAATGAATCCCTTTCTAAACTAATTATATTGTTCTCGTACCATTTTCTGTGCAGTTTCTTTCGAACATCTCTATGTTCCTTCTTCAGGTCAGTTATATGTCTACGTGCGTACATTATTATGAAGATCAGATTTCCTGCCTCTTTTTCCAAGGCGTTTACTTCTCTTTCCAATGACAACTTCATTTTCTTACGGGAGTTTTTCTTGAAATAGCAAAGATATTGTCCACTCTTCTTAGTAGCTCGTTGGAAAGTTTTTTTGCTGTGGTGTTTTATGTACTCCTGGGATTGTTGATTAAGAAGTAGTGACATTCCATCTGTAACCGATCCTGTTTTTAAGAGATTCTCCATGCAAGCCCCACTTTCATCTACCCCACCATTCTTACTTGAGCACGAAGCTTGTTCGTACCACCGTTCGAACTGGATAAGGCGAGCCACGGCGTCTGTTATCTTCTTTGTTCGTTCGTCCTGTAAACAATTTGTGAACTTATATCAGGGTCCTGCGGTAGCGTAGTTGGTTGAGGGGCTATGCTATAAGCCGGAAGTGTAATTAAGAGAGAGTGTGTAACCAGGTTCTAATAAATCCAATCATCCGAACTAGAACCCGTCATATCGTCACGCGTACCCCTCTACACGTGACAATATGCTTTATATGGTAATTAATTTGCATGTGCATAAACATCAAAGGTCTCACCCCCCCAGAGAACTATTTCCTTGATAGGTACCATTTCGGCAACTGTCTCTCACTAAGATAAAACACTTTAACGGATAATAGTCTATTCCTTATTGCCTTTAAGCTCTGCCCTGAGCGGCCTCCGTAGTCTAGGGGTAACGTTCCCACCTCATGATTCAAGGTACGCGGGTTCAAACCCGGCGGAAAAATTCAGGGAACAAGTCCTCCGGGAGGAACTTTAAGCCGTGGGTCCCGTGTCGTAGCTTTACGGCACGTAAAAGATCCTCATGTCTCTAGGAGACCTCTGAGCTAAATTAGGTAAAAAAGTTACCCGCCCAAGTAGTTTCCAATGCCTCCGGTAGATGGGGAAGCATCGGGTACGGCAGCCAGCCTCGCTGGCTGAACGGGGCTGATAGGGAGCACCAGTACCGGCAGGGTATGGAGACTGGTAGAATATCAAAAGGGGAAACCCATCCCCTCCAATAATAATAATAATAATAATAATAATAATAGT